AATATCGCTCGTGCTCAATCCGTCTCCCTTCCCCTGCTTTCGGAGCTGCGCCAACTACACGCGGCAGGATCTGCACGCGTTGACTAGCACACGGGCACATGAGAGCGAACAGTCTCAACATAATTGAAAGTGTTGCTCGTGTTGTTTTTGTTATGTTTGTTTGTGCTCGTGGCCCTCCCCCCCTTTCGACCTCTCCGCGGGCCACTCCGCCAGCCATTCCGCGACCCACCCGCGACCACTCCCGTGCCCGCCCCTTCACCTTTGCCCGCAATTGGTTGGGTGCTGCGAGTTTGCATGCCTGGGAGCGCCAGCCAGCGCACGAGGTGGCCAGTCCAGAAGCGGCAGCCAACGCGCGAAACGGCAACGAGGCGGCCAGAGCCGTCTCCTTGGCGAAGACGTGGAAGCGCCTGCAGGCAGTGGCCGCGAGGCGGCCACGAGCACCCACCAGACGAACGTGTTGCGGGAGTGCAGGACAACTACGTCGTTGGAAACAAGGTTCTTTGGTGCCCGCTCTGTTTGAACAAGCTGAAGCTGAGAGCATCGGTACAGGTATCGCACCGTTTGCGTTGGGAATGTGCTGGTCCGTGCGGCGGCTAAACTGCGGATTGGCTAGTTCGAACCCTCGGCGAGTGCGCATGAGGTTTCGATGCAGGGCGATGTTCGAATCATCTTAGGGTTCGGGCGATGTTTCGAGTCGGGTTGCGTACATCGTACCAGTTTCCAGATTCATCGCCACTTCAAGTTCAACCCTGTTTCCTTGAACGGGGACCTTCCAGAGCACCTCGAGCGAGGCAAAATATATCCGAACCCGAGTGCACGAAATTACGCCACCAATGTTTTCCATAGTTACGTACGTGCATTTTTGGTGCGTCCAGCAAAGTACTGCGACGCTTTTGCACACTGTAGCCGCTCGATCGCTTGCAGCACCCCGCGCCGCCCGATGGTCACCTTAGATGACCCGCCGGCAGTGCGGCACGTGCGGACCGTGCGCAAGCGCAGTCTCTTTGAAGTGTGCGCGTCGCATTGACAGGAACAGGGGGGATCTTGAACGCTTCGCGTGTCCACACCAGGCCATCCATCGTCAGTGTCTCGCTCTTTTTTTGCGCGGTCTCACGCTCCATGGCCTCCCCTGGTGTGGTCTGGTGTCGCCTGGGCGCGTGCGGCCGAATCCGACATGTTTGGGCGTAGTGGCGTAGCGTGGTGATCCCCGACCTGGTCTGGTTGGTCGTCTTTGATGCGCGCCTTGTTTCATCTCCTTTCGAACGCCTGGGCGTGCATGGTTAATAATCCAAGTCGGAGGTTGGAGGTGAAGATCGCAGAGGAACGGAGAGCCCCCCCCCGGACAATCGATTTCGGCTTCATGTCGTGCCTGCGGGCGAGGCGAAGCTGCTTGGGCGCGCGAGAGGAATGACCCCGACGTCGCTAGGGCGATTCGGATTCAGTGGACCGTCCCCCCGCCCCCAGTGGGCGCGCGGTCGTGGTGTCTTGTGGTGTCCCGTTGGTGTTTCGTTGGTGTCCCGGCGGTGTTCCGTCGGCGGGGGGTGGGCGGTGGCCGGAGGTGTCCCGCTTTGGTATCGATTGTTATGTCGATCGTGTGATCGATAATGATATTGCTAGAATAGGATGCGTAGTGATATCAAAAGTGACATCGACATTGAGGTTATTCTAGACGCTTCGCGTATCCCCACCAGCCCGTCCAGAAACGACGCCCAGGCGAGTAGAGGGTCGTCCTGATGGGCTTTTCGGCGTCTTGGGTGCCTCGGGGGGGCCTCTGTGGGCCGTTCGGGATCCTCTTAAACCACCGACGCCCAAAGGGCTGGTGGGATTGCCTCGATCAGGGAAGTGGACAGCACAGAGAGGAAGCCAGTATGAGACATCTGGGGATTTCTTGAGCCATCTTGGAGGTCATTTTGGGCTCTCCGAGGCGCTCTTGGAGTCATCTTAATCAGTGCCCCCCCCCAAGAGGCCAACATGTGGCTAAAACCTTAGTGCAAACAATGGTTTGACATTATCGCCGAGGCCTCTGGGAGCACCTTGGGTGCCTCTGGGGGGTCTCTTGGGGCCTCTTGGGGGTCTCTTGGGGGCCTCCTGGGGGCCTCTTGGGGGGCCTCTTGGGGCCATCTTGGGGCCATCCTGCGGCCTCTTGGGGCATCCTGGGGGCCTCTTGCGGCCATCGTGGAGGAAATCGATCAAAGAAGAGGGGAGCTTTAATTAGCCCTGCCCCCTCAGAAGGCCAAAATGGGGCCAAAACCATAGTAAAATCAATGATTTTGGCTTCCTCGCCGAGGCCGTTTTTGACGCTCTGACCGCTCCCCGCCCCTCCTGTCCAGGTCAGCGGGGAGGGGGTAGGGGGAGGGGTAAACCCCTCCCCGAAGGGGAAGAGGGAGGTGTGGAAGAGGAAACGCCCTAAACCACCGACGCCCAGAGGGCTGGTGGGATTTTGGAGGACATCGGCCAAGGAAGTGGGGTTCCCTAATTACAGCCCCCCCCCAGGAGCTCCAAAAACCGCTTCCTGGACCCCTCTTGGATCGCTCTTGGAGCGCTCGTGGCCGCTCTTGGAGCCATCCTGAGGCTCTCTTGGGCCCCTCTTGGAGCTATCTTGAGCCATCTTGGAGCCATCTTGACGCGTCGGATGTGCATCGCAAGCGAAAAAGTGAGAACACCAAAAACATTGATGTTCCCCAGGGTTTTGAAGCATTTTGGCCTCTTGGATGCATCCTAATGATGCTCTTGTGGGCACTTGGAACCGTCTTGGGGAGTTCTTGGAGCGTCTTGGAACATCATGGGGACCATCTTGAGGCATCTTGCGCTATCTTGAGCCATCTTGGAGGTCATCTTGAGCTCCCTGAGGCCCTCTTGGAGCCGTGTTGGGCCGTCTTGGACGCTCTAACTACCCGCGGCCCCCCCTGTCCAGGTCAGTGGGGAGGGGGTAGGGGGAGGGGTGAACCCCTCCCCGAAGGGGAAGAAGGAGGGGTGGAAGAGGAAACGCTCTAAACCACCGACGCCCAGAGGGCTGGTGGAATTGTGACATTAGTTGGGAGATCGATAGTGGGATAGATCTTGAGATCATCACGCGTTGTTTCTAACGTCACCAGCATCGTCATCATCACATGTATCGCATTTACCAGCAGTTGGTTCTTCCCATCACCCCACAGTCTCCTTATCACCCGAAGGGTGGACGTACAGATGGGTGTGTGTTTTTTGACATGATACCTTCTCCTCCCAATCCTCATCTACTTGTTCGCAGTTGTAGTCTTCATTGGTCCCCGCCATCTCTTCCCGCACCCCTGCCGCCCTGCACGGGATATACGATGCAGTATCGCATGGTTCGTTTTTGTGTTCCACAGCCTGGTCCAGTGTGGTGGAGCATCGGAAGGAAGAGCGGGGGGGGGGACGATGATTGGGAGGAGCGGGCGAGAGGGTCACGCCAGAATGGAAGCAGCATGGCATCATGACTGAGAAGATCCCTCGCCAGTCGCTCGGGATCCGCCTTGAGGTCCAGCGGGGGCCCCTCGATGTTTGCTACGGCCGAGGGGGATCACCTGGGGATGCGCGCTCCTCTTTGGTGCTTCTGGGGGGCATCGGAGGAGGAGGAGGATGAGGGGGAGGAGGAGGAGGAGGAGGAGTAGGAGGAGGATGAGGAGGAGGAGGAGGAGGACATCCGGGTAGCTTCTCAGATGCCTCCCGACGCTTCGTGTGCCTTTTGGGCTTGTCTTGGACGCCCTCGGGGTCTCGGCGGCCTCTAGCTCCCAGGTCGCCCGCTTGTCCGTCTCATAACTCGTTGGCCTCGGGCGCCTCGTGGACGCTTCTCGGGGGCCTCTCGGGGGGCCTCTTGAAGTGTGTTGGGGGCGTCTCGGGGTTTCGTCGGAGCCTCTTGTGTCATCTTGGGCGTGACGCCCTTAAGGCAACTTGGGCTCCTCTCCAGGGCTTCCTGGGCCGTCCAAGGAGCCTCCTGGACGCCTCCTGGGGCAAGGCGAAAGTGCTGGTGGAGGGATGGGAAGGGGGGAGGAAAGGATAGATGTGGAGAGGGGGGGGAAGGGAGGAGGGGAGGTGGGGGCGGGGAGAGGGGACGAGGGGGGAGGGCCAGAGGGAGGAGGAGGAGGAGATGGAGTAGGAGGCGGAGGAGGAGGAGGAGGAGGAGGAGGAAGAGGAGGCGGATGAAGCGGAGAGAGTGAGGGGAGGGTGCGGTACTGGGATGCTGCGACCGCTCAAGATGTTGAACGATCCACGCGGCGTCGGAGACCAGCACCGAAATCGTCACGGCTCGACATTGCCATCCCCAATTTCGAGTCCACTACGGGGCCCAAAAATATACACCACCACCACCACCACCACCACCACCACCACCACCACCACCACCACCACCACCCACCACCACCACCACCACCACCACCACCACCACCACCACCACCACCACCACCACCACCACCACCACCACCACCACCACCACCACCACCACCACCACCACCACCACCACCACCACCACCACCACCACCACCTCCCTCGACCCCTCCTTCTCATTCTTGGGGCCCGCATCAACGCCGCTCTCCCCAAGCTGAGTAAACGCCGCCGCGATGGAGGGGACTGGCGAGATGAGAGAAGGAGGCAACGGCGCCAGGAGAAGAAGGAGTGCACGGGGAGGGGGGGGCGAGCCTCGAGGGAACAGGAAGAAAGATCGCGGGGTCGCTCTCGGTGACAGAGGCTGCTCAATTACGAGGGGTCGGAAGGTGGAGGAGCATGAGGAGACGTGAGAGAAGAGAGAGGATGAGCATGGGAGCAGGGACAGCAGGAAGAGGAGGAGCAGGATCAGGATTCGGAGGGGGGGGGAGGGAGGCACTGCAGGAAGACACTGCAGGAAGACGAGAAGCGAGCCGGAGGAGGGGTAAGAGGACGACAGAGGAGATGTGGGAGGGTGTCTGGAGCATCGGGAGGGTCCGAAGCGGCAGCGAGGAGAAGGACACGGAGGGGTGACGAGGAGCCCCCCCCCCTCGGCCAACGAG